GACACGTTGAGACAGAACCACACCATGGACAAGGATGACTGTACACGCTGGTTTATTGCTGTCAGCGGAATTAGTGGACGCGAAAATTTGAACTGAGGAATCGTAGTTCAGAGGGTTTCACGGCCGCTTGCCAAGCGGAGTGGGCGCTCGGTGGATTCAACGGCATAGTATAAGCAACTTACTGCGCTGAGCCGGGCTGCGGGCCGCTAAAAAAACGGCGTGCGGGCCGCATGCGGCCCGCGGGCCTTCCATAGCCTCCTCTATATTCACAAAGCCTGGCAGATCGCCACGAGAAACGGCCGCTGAAATTGAAAAAGTAGAGCGGCAGACAATGGATGAGAGGAAAGTCACGTGACTGGCGCCCCGCTGCGGCGAGACGCCGAAACAGACTTTTCCCAAGCGATGGAATGTCCGCTCGTGCTCCTCGCGTTCCTCGCGCTACCGCTTCTTCTCTCGTCGGGTTTAAAAGCCATATTTCGGGTCTTTGCCGCTGCAAAAGCTGTGCGCTGACGTTCAGGTCCCCCAGAAATGCTCTGCGCTACCAGGTCCTCGCGCTCCAAATCTGCGACCAGAACTTTATATGACTCCGTCATCGAACTATTAGGCTTTGTGAGAATAGAAGAGGAAATGGTCGTGCACCCTTGGTCTAGGGCGTCAAGTAATGACGATATAAAATTCTAGAGTTAGGACTAGCTGCATGGGTGCAAGTGACCCCTTTTAATCCTTTCAAGCGCGTGATTCACTCATAGTTTTGCTTGGAACACCCGTAAATCGGTGGGGCGTTCACATCTTCCTAACTGGATGTTAGCATGGTTGTTGCACGCTCTTGTTGTTTCGATCGGTTCTCTACTGGTTCAGACCAATGAAGTCATCAACAACTAAGGCACTCAAAAGTCTGACCTTCTTTCACTCATTATGTGCATAATACATCCGACTGCTTCCTGTTGTTGTGTGTTGTGTGTTGCCAGAGTCCCACACACTAGTTCGAGCGAACGCGATGCAAATTAAAAAAAGAAATGACCACAAACGTTTTGCAGGGCCCCTCGAAGAGAGGTTACAAACAAACCCCTGTTTTCCCACATCGGGTGTGGGCAATATGCCATGCCAAAAGAGACGCGGCAATTTTTTCATGTCTGCAAAATATTAAAAAAAAATAATAATAATAATAATTTGGATAAAAAAGCTTTTGATCTCCGAGCAGAGTATATTTATGCAAATTTTTTTTGGTTTTGTTTCTATTAATTTTTGCTGGTATTATGTTGTAAATTTCTGGAATTTTTATAAAACCCCTGTAGTTAAAAAAAAAAACATTGAAAAAAATACAGTCCAGTGCCACACAAATTTAGGCGGCCGCCCAATAACTTATTAATATGCCCTATCTTACACTAAAATACAAACATTGAAAGACACCATTTTGAACCCAACTAGAAGCTCAAAATGTAAAGGACTTCATGAGATTTCAATATTTTTTAGTCAACTTGGTGTCAACAAAATAACAATACTTATTATTATTTTTTTTGTGTGTGTGTGCGTGTGTTTTCAAAATACAAATTGTTGATTTGCCTGTATTAAAGTTTAGAAGCCTCGTATTGTTGTTCTACTCAATTCACAAAAAGCCCCAGTTTATGCAGAAACGGCCATATTGAGAGCCGAAAAAAGCAAACTGAGGCAGCGGTGCTCGGAACTATCAAAATAGCCAAAAGTTAAATCCACCTCGTCTCTTCAACATATCGAAAAATTAAAAAAATACTTCGTTGCCAATAATTTTAATTAGCTTTTAAATTGTTTTTAGGCGCCTGCTTTGTAGGCGACGCACGCTGGCGTTCGACAACGAGGCGTCAACGGGGTGAGACGCCGCCACCTGGGTCTGCAACGCTCTCCTGAAAACACGTCTTATTGAGTTGAAGTGGACGTTATTCTAACTTTCATGCGTTCGTGTCCTCTTTACATTACGTAATGATACTAACGTCTTAATTTTACTCTTCTTTTGACCAGGTAACTGCCGACGAAAGCAGGCCTGCATGGTCTCGAGTTTGGGAATGCATACGGCGCGTCGGCCTCGTCTGTCGTCTGTCCAGATATAAAAAATGAGACGTTTACAAATCTCTGTAATGCGAAATTAGGGCGCAGCTTTCGAGGAGGAGGAGGGAAGTTCACAGAGGGGAGGGGATGCCGCTCCTCCTCCTCCGTACCCTCCCCTCCTTGTCTACTCCTCTCCATCCTCCTCCCCTCCTCTTCTGCTCTACCTCCTCTCCTCCCCCCTCCTCCTCCTCCTCCTGCGTTCCCTCACATCCTCCTCCTCCTCCTTCCACAATTTCCCCGCTAAATTTAGCTGGAAAATTGACGCCACTTGGCCTCAACAGCAATTCAGTTTTTCCGATAAATTTAGCGGGGAAAATGACGTCACGTGCAGGGGTTTCCCAGTAATCCAAATTAGGGGGGGTGTAAATTTTTAGGGGGGGGGGGGCATTAAAAATAGAGAAGTCGTTGCGAACTAAGGGGGTGCCCTCAGAAAAACAAAGGGGGCTGTACACCTTCTAGGGAATGCGTATGGAAATCACTGGTCACATGACTGAATGTCACGTCATTCAAGAACAATTCAGTTACTCCGCTAGATTTAGCGGGAAAATTGACGTCTTGTGACCTTAACACCATTTCATTTCCCCCCTAATTTCAGCTTCGCGGTTACGCCGACGACGACGGCGACGCCGCTATACGCGGAAACGGGCGCCTAAGAGATGCGCTCTAAAACAATTCAGACCGGATCGCTCTTCATTGATGCCAAACGGTAACGGTGATGTCGCTTCTCCATTGAACTTAAATGCATTTTGATAGAACATGTAGTGCTACCAAAGTAGTGTAATACTGGAAAAATGCGTTTCACGCTTTACGGCGAACGCCTCACACCCCTGAGATGTGCAGTATTTTAGGCTCCGGAATACACTGGAGCGGATCAGAACGTGTCTCGAATACTGAACTCACTAGTATTTTTAGAGGAAGTGTGCTTGATAAGAGGAGGGAGCTACACGGCTTTCGTCTTCGCCATCTGAGTGTCAGGCCCGGCGGAAATCGGATGAGGTCATTACAGTCATGGTAAGTCGGTGTATTAAACAACTTTGTCGATTAATTTCTTAAATAATGGTTTCGTGTTTCTTAAATAATGGTGTCGTGGCTGATGTTGCAATTCCAGTATTCACGCCAACTCCTATCAGAGGCTTGACCAATTTACAGAATTTCCGAAAAGGTACTAGTTTCTTAGATATTCATTGATCAGTTTTCGCATTTAATTAAAACGCTGTCATTTAACTAAAACGCAACAAAACGAGGCTTTGAAAATTTAGCACGTGCAATTCAATTATTTGTTCTATGAGAACAAACAAAAACGGTATTGTAGCTAACACCCAATTCCAAGTTATCAAATTCATAAATTTTTTTTTTTTTTTTTGGAGCTCCTGTTTAGACTCAAAATAGCGTCTTTCAATCTTTGTTCACACATATGCAACCGTTTTTTCACTTCTTTTTTTTTTTTTTTTTTTTTTTTTTTACCGCACAGATTTTACGCAAATTCCAGAAATTTAGAGCATGCTATAAGCAAAAATAAGTGTTTTTTTTTTTTTTTTTTTTTTTTTTTTTAGAGACAAAAATATTTTTTAGGGGTTCAGAGGCTTCTTTATCTAAATTATTTTTTTCGCACGTAGCCCAGCTAAAAAAAAGATTGCCGCGTCTCCTTTGGCATGGAATGACCCGTGCGTAGAAATTAAGATTTGCATAAGACTTAGCTTCTGCGCAGTGCCGAGAGCATCGCCACTGAAGTGGTGTGACGTCAAAGTTCAGTTGGCCTGCGCTACTCTCCTAGAGGGCTATCGTCGGCAAAAGCGAGACTCGGAGATCCCGAAATAACCTTCCTTGTGCCCCCTTAGGTGGCAGTTGAACGGTTTCCACTATCTCAAATAGATAAAGCTGAGGATGAACCATCAAGAGGCGATTGTAACCGCTACATAAAGTGCGCGTGTTAAAGAACCTTTTTGTGTGGATTATCTCGGGGGATGTTTTCTTGTTGCTATCGGTCCAGACAGGCGGTCGTCAAAGCCAAGACGCTGCTGAAGATTGCGAACATCAGTCAAGTGGCACACGCTGAGGTCAAGTATTGTGCCAAACCAGTTTATTTGCTCCGAATAAATCGCCTGGGCAGAAAGACGGAAGTGTACGCACGTGTGCATGGTCACAGGGTGCAAATATACGTTCAATTTGTCGCCACGACATATATATTGCCAGGCTTTATGATATCTGTGTATCCACAAATTACTTGTTTCCGTTGTTTATCGGTTTTATGTGTTCTTCGGAATGTCTCCTATCCGCAAGTTTCACGGCCTAAAGGGGGTGAATCACGGAGAAAAGCTTTCCTCCGCACCTGCCGGTTTTACGGTGAGCTTTTCTCCTGTGAGCTTTTCTCCGCCGCCCAAAGGGGGTTGCGCCGCGGCGCCTATCAAAATGGCTGTCATGTGGGTGATGAACGTGGAACAGCAGAACGTGGCCAGGTTGGGGATGCCCAAGGGATCCAAATTTTGTCAGATATGAGCGTCATTAAACCTTAGCAGTATTATTTCGTCAAAGAGAAATGTTTGCGGCAATCCTTATGTTAAAGTCTATCACCCCAGAACTAGGGAACGTGATTGCCACGCTGATATGTTTAATCAAAGTGTCAAAATGTGTAAGTCACTGGGCATTCCCTGTATGTGATTGGTTAAGCGATAATACAACGTGTACAGAAACATGACGAAAACAATGTTAGCTCTTGAGTAGGCTGCGCACAGACTTAATAATGGGAAACAAAGCATAAGAGTTGAAAAGGAACCATATATCTATTGTACATATTTATATGATGTGACTTCAGAGTATGATAATGCGCCTAAATTGTGCCTTGTGGTAGGATTGTGTTATGTGAAATTCTTAAACGAACGCGTCAGGTCGCAGTCGCTGTGGTTAGCAGACGACGAACACCCAAGGTGGCTGAAACGAGGCATGGCGATGACACTGGGGGTGACCGTGGACGGGAACGAGCCTCTCACAGGGGCAGTGGGGCGCGGGTGCTGGACTCGTTGTGGCTGGGCAACCATGGCGGGGGACTTCTCCAGTCGAATAGGTAGTAGCCCACGGTGTTGACGCCGATCAAAATAGCTGTGATCGAGGCTACTTTGGTGCTCAGACCGGCCATCATCTGCGTAAGAGATTGCGAGGTCTATACTTCGTGTCACCTTAAATCACAACGCAGCCGACGTTAGCTGATGGGATCAATCAAACAGTGCCAAAAGCGCAAGTCACTGGGCTTTTCATGTAGATTACTGAATCAGCGATGATAGAGCACGTGCAGAAACGCGAAGAACACCACGTTGGTGCGCTTCTGACGCTGTTTGATTGGTCCCAACAGCTCGTAACGCCGTAAAGATCATCTGAGGGTCCAAATAAGTATGGAGTCTGGATTGCGTTTCCGACTGGTGCTTTTAGCGCGTCCTCAAAAGTGGTGCCTCGATTTCCTCTTGATGACATCAAATAAGTGTCATGCTGGCGACTAACTGCTATACTTCGCGAACTGTGGACGCTACGGCCACCGCGACCCAATAAGAACGTCGGAGCGAGGCACGTGAGAACACGTCACGGGAGCGTATGTGTCACATTAAAGTGTCGCCGTCGACACCGCCTTGAGCGGTGTCGCCGTCGGCGTCGGCGTAACCGTGAGGTCACCTGACTTCCGTGAAATCACGTGACCTCAGGGGGGGGGGGTCACGTGGTCCCCGTGGCGGAGTAGCAGGTAGGATGACGAGGTAAGGAAGAGGGAGGAGGGGTATAGCCTCCCCTCAGTACTCTTCCATCCTCCTCCTCAAGAGCTGCGCTCTAATTCGGCGTTACAAGGAGTTGTAAACGGCTTTCACTTTTTAGACTTAGGCTAGGTGGCGCAAGCTACCGCCCGCACAAAGGGTGTCGCCATTAACATCCATTCATCCATCCAGGTTCGGAGGAACAAGCTGTCGTCTGTCGGCCAAGAGTCGTCTGCTCCAAAACCAACTAACTTAAGAGGGGGCGCACCTCAGAGCCCCGTAGAGAATACATGAGGTTTTTCACCAAATTAAAAAAATTCTCACATAATAACGGCTGCGCGGAACTTCTTGAAAATTTCGGCTTTAAAGACATTGAGTCATTATCGAGACACTAAGCGCAACAAATGTTTCATCATAAATTTAATTATATTCTTTAAAAAATCATGAAAATGGTCAAAATCGGCTAATTCGGCACTCTTGCGTTCGGAGCGAATTTACAAAATTATCTAAATTCAAACATAAGAAGTATTGCGCTTAATGTCTTCTAAATTTATTACGGAATCGAATAATATTCAAATTATTCATGCAAGTCGATTTGTTCCGTTACTACAGCAAATATAAAAAACCAAGGTGTCGGTACTTGTTTTCGTCGTTTTTAAGGTACCTCTCTCTCCCGTGCGGTGGCGCTCGCTGTCCACGAAATGCGAAATCGTCCGTTCGGAGATCGGCCGGATCGGCACTGTGCGAGGTGTTCTTCCGCGGCCGTATTCCGCGCCCGTATCCTGTTTCATTCTGCACGCCGAGGCGTCAGTGTGCGTGTCTTGCTTTCCTGGTTCTCGCTGGGTAGGTCTCCGTGTTTTCGCAAGTGGCAAATTCACCTTGGAGCTATGGGTCGAAGACAACCGTCCTGTGGCAAGCGGACCGCGAGGTGTTCCACAACCTCGCGGTCCGTCAACGCGTTGTGCTTGTTTCTACTTTTTTTTTCTTTTAAAAACGGGCCTTTTTTTTACGCAAAGTTTTATTTTATTGTTATCCTTCACACAAACGTCCTTCGGCCTTGGGGTCATGGAAATCGGGGATGAAGCGTGCACAGAGTAGATCGTGGTTTTCCTCCTTTTTATTTTTCACGGACGTCCTGTGACCTCCGTACGGTTCGTGGTCACCGCAATCTAACGCGGGGAAAAACGGGTCGCCTGCTCTGTAGTCAGGGTATTCCTAGGGGAGGGTGATAACTCGCTGTTCTTCTGGAAATTCACATATCACCCAAAAAGGTGACATGGGTAATGATTACGGTATGTTTTTTCCGGTGTTTATTTTTGAGCGAAAATCGGTGCATGTTTTTCGGTGCTTATTTTTTAATCACCAGTGTATTATGGGTTGAAAGTCTTGTGATGACGCTAAAAAGCGTTGATAACCAAAGAAAAATGCGATTGGACAAGAACATTTCAAATTTCCAATTCTATTCACATATCGATTACGCTCTTCTCGTGGGAGCATCTATCCTGACGAAAAATGCCTAAGTCATTGAGCTGTGAACGCATACTCAGTGTACAATCTTTCGGCCTGGAGAGGTATTGCACACGCTCGAACGCGCTTCACAGCCCAGTAGACGAAGTTGGTGGCACCCAGAAGGCGAGTTTTTGAATGGTCTGTAGTAGGCAAAAGAAGCAAATAACAATCAACGCATATCAGCTCTTCAAGCGAAGAGGCGCGTTTCAAAGGTCAATGGTTCCGGACGGCACTAATGTTGTTGGCGTTGTCGTAAGATGACGTCAGTTCATACGAACTGACGTCATCTTACGTGATCACGTGACACAAACACGTAATCTTACATGATCTCGTTACACGAAATGACGTCATCTTACGTGATCACGCTGCACGAAATGACGCCATCTTACGTGACCACGTAACACGTCATCTTGTAAGTCAACCTCTCCCCACAGCAGCGCGCTCCGCGCTTTCCGGCGCCCGTGCAGTGCTGTAGTCGAAAGCAAGCTCCCTATGGCAAGCGAAAGCTTCTGAAGTCTCACATTGAGAATACTCGCGAGCGACCGTCTGTGGAAGCTTCGCACGTTGAGGTTTTTGTTGAGATCGAGCCATCGTGTTCCATTAACTATAGTTGAAGTTATCGTTCAATAAAGCCCTAAAAAATATGAATGTAGTTGGTGTAGACATTAAGATCTAATCAAAAATGCGGTTTGACGTCGTTTAATTAACGTGTATATACAAGTGTAGAAAAAAATGAGTTATTTGTGCGTAGATGTTTAAAAAAGTGTTTATTATTCGACATAGGACTTTGGGAGAAGGATGTGTTCAGATTTTTCTTCATGAGCGCAAATATACCTGACGCATTAAATAGTGACGAATCGTCCCAGTGGTGAGCAGGTGATTTCTTGCTCGAAACAATGATGCCATTTCATAAACCAAGTTCTGTGACATATGCTTTTCCAATGTCTGGTCACTATTTTGTAAACCTTTCAGTCCAAACGAGTATACTTCTGTTTGTTTTTGTTAGCTTAGGGGGGGTCACAGAGCCTATATTTTTGTCTTCCTCTAGGACAGACGTACAGCGTTATACCGCAACACGCATCTGTGGAGCACACAGAGCTATCGCTCTCCTGTTGGCGGTACAGTAGCAGACGACACAACGCAGCTCCGTAGTCTATCGAGGGCACGGCTAGCCGCGGCCCGTAGCGCGACCGTTCAGACTAGAGAAACGGTTTTGAAGAACCGAGAAATGGTATCTTGTGTACAATAATCACATGTCGTTAGTATAGTAGTATTCTACTTGCTAAGCCAAATAAATATTTGCAGCTTGTGAGAATATGTTTGCGTGACGATTTACCGTTCACACTCCTGACGGATGTTAGCGAATCTTTCATGTTCGTGGCTCGCAGTTATCGGTACCCCCTCGGAGTGACTTCACCATATATTTTTTTTTCTTGCTTGCAGGACATCATAAAAATCACAAACACGCGAGAAAAAAAAATCTTATGAGTACGCGTGATTTTGAGCTTCGCAGCTCTAAAGATGCCCGTAAATGTCATCCAGCTTGGGAAGAAACTAATCCTTTTTGTTGGAAGTTTGACTAACGTGTACTGGCAGCTCGTTTCCGGTCTGTTTTGTCTATACTCCGTTTCACCGTAATTTGGCAACCCTCAGTTAGAGCTGCTGTGAGGGAATCACAGTCGCGGAGCAAAGCACGTGACAGCTACTTTTAGGAGCAGTACTATGGCGCCTGCAGCGCATCTCCGACTGGTGTGTTTAGCGTCTTATGCTGGCCATACATCAAAAGTGGTCCCGAAGTGCAACAAATGACGTCACAGAAGACGGAGTGTCACGCTGTTGCATCTCACGATCCTGGCAATTCATCGTAGAAATGCTGGCGAAAACCACGAGGGAACACGAGTGTCGCTGTCGCATACAATTTCGACGTTTTTGTAATTCGGTAATTTAAATTACTGTATACAATTTTTAAGAAAATAAAGACATCATAACCAAATAGGAACTTCCGTGCTAAAACATGCAGTGCGAAGTGAAGACAACTACTATGTTTTTTTTTCTTGATGTCCACAAAAAAAAAAAAGGCTATGCAGCATCGATCCTACCGTTTTTTTGTTGTTTTTTTTCGCACATTATGTGATGTCTTCTAACACGAAAGTACCGACGTAAAAGCGCTGTAGAGACGATATAAAAACAAAAATTTAAGTGAATCGAGCTTTGTAGTGGAACGGAAAAAAATAAATAATTAACGACTTTTTACGGTAAACACTTCACCTCTAAGTAGAACTTCAAAAAAGTGACGGTTACGCGCTTTCATGCCCATTTCAACAAAGTTGGGAGAACGATGTATTGCATCTTGTGAATAGACATGTGGAGCAGCATGTTTATGTTAGAGGGTAACCGGACAAAAGCTCACCGGACAAAAGCTCACCGGACAGAAGCTCACCGGACAAAAGCTCACCCAATTTTTGACAGACCCGGACAAAAGCTCACCCCTTTTTTTGACAGACCCGGGCAAAAGCTCACCTCGATTTCTTTTTTTTTTCCTACCCGGGCGAAACACGGGCTCAAATAAAGTGCGGACGCAACGGACATTGGACCATTATTAGGAGAACTTGTACCTCATCCACCATTGAGTTGCGAATTTTTTAAAAATACTTTGAAAAAGCGGGAGTTCGGCCTTCTGGAAAAGTACAAGAAGATGACAAATTAAAAAAAAAAAATTGTGCGGGATTTTAGATAGGCTCGGGTTCCTTCCACCACAGCTTGTTCCACAAGAACAAACTACCAGGGAAAAGTCTACCGGTGACATCGGCTACCTGCTGGACTATTTTGATTGCACGTATTTCAACGGCCGCTTCCGTTTTGCTTCTGTTCCATCTGCGGCGGCACCCAGAGC